AGTTATAATTTTATCTAACAAAAATGCCACCAGGCAATCCAAACACTAGTAAAATCAAAGAAATTATCAAGGTAATTATTACTTTGTCTAGCGTTTGTGGACTATGAAAAAGCCTTGGATTCGATCGAGATCTGAGCAGTGCTACAGTCTCTCCAACGGTGCCAAATTGACTATAGATACATCGAAGTGTTGACAGGCTTGTACGAAAACGCCACAATGTCGGTTCGTCTCCAGGATCAGGACTCGAAACTCATCCAGTTGCAGCAAGGGGTGAGACAGGGAGATGTCATATCTCCGATACTGTTCAACACCGCCCTGGAAGATGTTTTCAAGCTTCTGAACTGGAGCGGATTCAGCATAAATATCAACGAGTACATAATCCACCTTCGATTTGCGGACGATGTCGTAATCATGGCTGAGACTGTGGAAGATCTAGGCATAATGCTCGATGGCCTAAGTAGAGCCTCTCAACAAGTGGGCCTGATGAATGAGTATGAAAATGAATATGGACAAGACAAAAAACATGTCAAATGTCCATGTAGTATCCACTTGTCTGGAGACTCTACACTCGAAAGTTTGTTGACCTGGGACAAACAGTCCAGTTACGTAGGTCCAACTTCGAGAAAGAGGTCATTCGTCAATCCAACTCGGCTGGGCAGCGTTCGGGAAGCTTCGTGATATTCTCACGTCCGAAATACCGCAGTGCCTCAAGACAAAAGTTTGATCATGTGTGTTGCCAGTGATATTTTATGAATCTGAGAGGTCACCCAAAAGGTGATGGAGCGTGCGATGCTCAGTTAGTTTCCCTACATGATTGAATCAGAAATGAGGAGATCCACAGGAGAACCAAAGTGACCGACATAGCCCGCAGAATCGCTAAAATCAAGTGGCAGTGGGCGGGGCACATAGCTCGCAGAGGTAATGGCTGCTGGATAATGATCCAGAATTTAAACCTACTTCTCTGAGCCTTTTTCCCATGAAAAATCTAAAATCACCATCTAGTTCGTCAAGTTCATCGAGGTCATCAAGTTCTTGTTGTTTAAAGGCTGCCTGAACAAGAGAGTACCTTATTTTCTTAGAAGTTGATTTATGTGATGTAATTTTATAGTAATTTCATGTGTGTAACGTATTTATTTCTGATCGAGAATTTACATTTATTACTGTTACCATTGGTGCCACTTAATCCAAATTATTAAGTTTTAAGTTCATTAAAATTACTGATTTTTCTATGTTAGTTTTATTTAATAATTAATCATTTTGAAATTTTCATCGTCAAATTTATATGAAAATAGTGACATTTCTACCTGAATTAATAATACAACATCAACATGTTTTTAATTGAAAACTGTCACTGTCTCAATTTTAGTGGAAAAGTGACACTATTTTTAGGGAAAAAATTAAATATTAAATAAACCATTATGATAATTTCAAAGATAATTATATTTCCGTAAAAGCCAAACAAGCCACTACTGGTATTTAACAAAAAACAAAACATTTAATAGCATTTTGCTCATTTTGCAAAGGTTTTAAAATTTGAGCATTTCAAATGCTTTTCCTGAAAAATCGACTTTTTTGTATAGTGACAGTTTGATTATGAACGTGCGATATATTGCAGTGATGTGCGTTCTTTTTATATCACAGGCGTTAACTGCACACAAAGAATGTTGAGTTTCATCAATTAAACTGGCACACATGTTTATTAAAAATTATATTTGTAGCAAGATTTTTAACAAAAGTAAATCACATGATATTAAACCGATTGATAAAGTTAGTAATTTGTTTTAACCCTTCAAGCCCTGCAAATCAAGACAAATGATAGGGTACTTATTGTAAGTTTATTGAAGTTTGCATCATGTGGTCCACACAGCTTATGACCGCAGTCTGTGGAGGAACACTGTATGTGGTCGCGATCCGAAGAATACTGGGAGAATATCTATTGATGTGACAAAAGAGTGGGTTCCTCTCATTACAGGTTATTCCCCAACTAATTGTTACAAAGGCACTTTTCAAACATAATAATTCTATTTTCTAATAGACAATGAATTAAATGCAGTTAGTAAGTAGCACTTTAGCGACTTGGGGATTAATAGGTTTACAAATGAGCTTTAAAAAAATTGTAGTTTAGATGCACCAGTATGTAGGTTAAAACAATCAATTCAAAGTACATGCAGAAGTATTATCGCTAATAATAAACTGCAAAATAAGTTATCATGATTAATAAATAATTATCTGATAATAATGATGAAGACTGCAATTGAATTGTGAGAAATTATAGTTGTAGATATTTAATTATCACAGAAATTGTAGAGAATGGATGTTTTATTATAGATATTAATTTAAAACAAGTGAGTTACGGCCTTGCTTTTTCCAAAACAAACAAAATTTCACAACATTGTAGGTAATTTTATGAATATTTAATTTTACTTTCTATTAAATAAATTATTACTGAAACAAATTATTTTTACCTCATCCTTAGCACAAAAGGATGGAACAATTTTCTTTTAGGATGTCTTTAACTACATTTTGGTACTTATAATACATTTTTAGCACAATGTTAAGTTAGGCACCAAAATAAATCAACTGCAATCCATACAGGAAAACTATAGCACCTTCGTTCAGAACAAAATTTGAACAAAACAACAAAAGCTTGACTCATTCAAACTGCTTTTTCCTCTCAATCGTGTCAGAAACTAGGTTTATAACAACGGATTTGGTATTATTAACGTTAATTCACTGATGTACTTTCACCTTTACCCTGTCGCATGATTCTAAATTACAAAATTTGTATTGTCTCGCTACATTACCACCCGCTAAAGTAAGAAAAAAAATCAAAATATGCAAATCCACTCACCTTAGGATATTACGCATGCACCACCGTGAGCAATGCAGGGAAATCACTTCTCTCAGGTAATATTTATGATAAGAATGTGTGATAAAAGTAAATACTGTTTGTACACCTCCCGTTCGGTTGACACAATATGGTCACGGCGACAAAGCAATTCACACGGCCTACAACACTGTTAAGTATAAAAACAACAAACAGCACGCACGAGGAATAATTAATAGAGTACACAGTAAAAATAATAACGACGTTTAAATTATTTCCACGCGAACGGTTGGCAATCGACACAAAATTGTATAATTTTTTGATTGATTGATTTAGATGTTTCGTTCTTGTTCGTGCTTAGCAACCATTCGTCGTTCATTCCCGAATGAATGGTGCACTTTGCCAAAGATACAACATCGAACAAGATAGAGCAGCAGTGAGTTATTACCATGAAGCTAAAGATAAAAATGGAGGCCAGACTTGGAACAAAACCTTGAGTCAAATACCTACCTATCTCTATCTCGCTCTCTGTGGGCCGACCTCTCTTTTTAGCGTGGACTGTAGCATTGCTATCTCCTGACTTAAATCTTCTAGTAAATTCTTCGAAATAGCCAAATCACTAACCAAATCAAGGTTAAACAAATAAATAATTAAATATTTGAACTACGATTACCTAGTTGAATTAAAAATCACAAAATTGTCCACCGTTTACGTTTAATGTGTTGGCGAATCAGGGAATTACAATCCCAATTCCTGGGGAATCGGTACCATGTGGCAACATCGGCCCAATCCGGCCCATCATGGCGGTTGTTTACTATTTTGTTTATTATGCAGTTAATTTCGTTCGAGATTGTTTACAGGAAATAATCATTGTTTTATCACAAGAAATGGTGCAAAATTTTGTAGTGCGTGGTTGCGGTAGTACGTGGTGTCCTGGAAGTGAAACAAGATTCCACGCGTAGGTGTTTATTTCGTGATTTCCGACATTGGATCATTGTAAACATTTTTCACATTTTTTACAATAATTTCTTCCTATTAAGTTTTACCAGTATTTACACTTATCATTTATTAATGATACCTATGTCAAGAAATAAAGATTTTACATTGAGTTTCATTGAATTTGAGCAAATTTATATTTTTTGTTTATTTAGAAAGAGAGAGTTTGCCCACAGAGAGCGAGATAGTGATACATAGTTTATGCTTCAAGTAGGTATTCAGAGTGTGGCCTCCATTTTTATCTATAGCTTCATGGTTATTACTTGGACACGTGGTGGTACAATCAAGAAACTTTCAAATATCCACCTTATTTTCCATGTAATTTTAATGAGTATGCTGTGTTTTACTTTCCGATTATTTTAATAATGCTAGTTCCTTAGAATAATTATTCTAAGGCTAGTTCACAATGTTGAAAGAATTTGTTATATTATCTCTGCCTCTGTCAAAATTTTTATAACGTAATTAAACTGCCGACAGCGCCATCTACAATTATTTTCGGACACTAGTAAAGAAAACAAGTCTGCTGTGGTCTGCCTGCTGTGAGAAAAGTTAGATGAAACTGCAAAATAATTACTAAATTAGGCAAACTGTAACGGTTTTGACCGCGTGAATATCTGAGGAACTCAACAAATGAAACTTTTTGATCACTTCGAAAATCGAATCCCTTCACAGAGCGAAGTAACTCCATACCAATACAAGACAGAGCGAGTGTAGGTCTTTGGAAATAAAATAACAACCGATCAAAAGACTGGCAGCTATTTCGGTCAGAGAATTAGCCTGGCCATTCAACGTGGCAATGCTGCCAGCCTTTTGGGCACCATTCTTGACTGCGGCGCTGGGGTTGAAGTATTTTTTATTTTGTAAATAGTTTTTATCATTAGTAATTTTTAAATTTTAGTTTTTAAGTCATTTTAAGTTAATGTATTATTATAAAATTTATTCTCTTATAAATAAAGTATTATATTCTTAAATACTATTCGAGACAACCGCGCCGTTCCATTTTGTAACTTAAAATTAAGTCCACTGGCTTAAGCGCGAAGATAAAGTAACAGATAGAGACAGAGTTATTTACTTTGAAAATGCTGGCTGTCTTTTCATATTTATAGATGGCGTTAATTTATCATCACATAATGTACTCTTTGATAGCGTCATTCACTCATTCGTTCGCGTATGTCAGTGACATTTGTCAAATCAGGTGTTCACTTTTATTTGTTTACTTCTTTGTTGTTTTTTGAAGATTAGTACCTGATTTAGGCCTTATAATTAACTTAAAATTATTAGTAAAATCCTAGGTAATATTAGCTGCTAGTTGATTAACTATTCCATGTAAATCTAAGTAGCATAACCTAAAAATGGGTGACGATACCAAATCCGAGAGTTTACCTGAAAAAGTCGAGTTTAAGAAGCCCGTGCTCATAGGACGCATTGGTAAACTGCCCAAGAAAGCTAAAAATGAAGCAGTGAAAGTTGTAGAAAGTAAAGATTTGCCGAAATCAAGCGAACAAAGCGGGCATTCCGATAGCAAGAGTGGTCAAAGTGACAACAAGAGATCCTTACCGCCAGCGGTGTTGTTAAAAGAGCTGTCGACTCCTATACCTTATAAAGAACCTAAGTGGTCTGGGCTAGCTCCCGATGGTGAGTGCATTTACCTGTGTGTTATATTGTGATTTATAGGGCCTAAAATCAGTGATGAGTTAGATTAAGCTATAATAAATCAACCTATCTCAAAAACTATAAGAGATACTTTGATCAAACCAAAAATCGTTGAAAGAGTTAATTAGCATGCATCACCTCTATTTTTTTTAGAATTTTATACCCCGTAGTTATAAAAATAGAGGGGGGGGGACATACTTTTTACGACTTTGAGAGCTGATATCTCAAAAACCGTTCACTTTAAGAAAAATGTTTTTTAGAAAACTTTATATCATTTTAAAAGACCTTTCCATTGATACCCCACACGGGTATGTACATCGAAAAAAAATTTTCATCCCTCAGTTACATGTATGGGGGGCCCCACCCCCAATTCTTTTTTTTACTATTTAGTGTCATAATTTTGTAGCGGTTCATACAACACATATTCCCATCAAATTTCATCACTGTAGTACTTATAGTTTCCGAGTAAATCGGCTGTGACAGACGGACAGACGGACAGACGGACAGACGGACAGACGGACAGACGGACATGACGAAACTATAAGGGTTCCGTTTTTGCCATTTTGGCTACGGAACCCTAAAAATGAAATTTAGATCATTCCAGGTAATTCTAAAATCAAGTCTGACACCAGATTTGCATTAGTTGACTCTACAAATCTACGTGTGAGTATAGATTAGAGCATTTACATTTGACAGAACAACGAGCTGTTCTATGAAATGTCTAGTGTATCACCCAGTCACGAACCAAATCTCAAACATTTTACCTGTATTGTACCATTCTCAAAAACGTTACATTACATAGAAATGCTCTAGTCTAAAGTCCAAAAAGTTACAAAAAGCCAAATCAAGCCTTTCTAAAAACTATTTTATTTTTCTGGGCTATTCAATAATGACAAATATAAATAGTAAATATCTGTTAATGTCGAAATATTGCCAAATAAAATAGGCGATCTTTTTTCACTCATGGTCTGATGACTTGATGTCTTGATTAAATAGTGTCTTAAATCCTCTTGTTAATTGTGGTACTGTATTTGTAATTTCGAATTGTTACTTTCAGGTTCCGAATATGCCTTGGAGGTACTCAAATCAGGGATGATTGTGGATAAAGTGGATCTCACAAGTAAACCATATTATGTATTTGGACGCCTAGCTAACTGTGACGTTGTTATGGCGCACCCTACAATATCTAGGTAAGTTATTATTGGTGCAGTGTTCCTCCACAGACTGCGGTCATAAGCTGTGTGGACCACACGATGCAAGCTTTCGCCCAACGTCTTCCTCACCGCATCTGACCATCTCGTTGGTGCCCTGCCCCGAACACGTCAGCCTTCCATTTGTCCCTAGATAATTTAATTTATGACCCTTACATTCTGAGATATTGCTCAATATTTTCAATTTTTTTTTTAAATTGGAGAGGGTTCTGCTCCTGCAGTCTACTCTTGATGATGATAAATGTTGCATCGTCGGATATGTCTTCTCTTTTTATGGCTGAAATAAATACAAAGTTTCAACACTGAAAAATCTACTCCTTCATTAATTTTTATTGCCCAAATTACTTATTGTCCTGTACCTTCCAGCTTAGCTAAATATTATGCAAGTGTTAGGAGTGGGTTCACCACAAAAGTCGGCGTGTCGCTGCGTCGCCGCTCCGCTTTGAAAACGCTTGCGATCCGCCAGTGTGGCAGCGCACTTAGGCCCAGAACAGACGGTGAAACGCAACTGCAACGAAACTGCAACTGCTAGTTACTTTTGAGTTGCATCTAAGTTTCTGCCATAGCGTCCGTTGATAGACCACACATGACGCGACCAGTTTGAAACTTTCAGTTTCATTCATAAGAATCATCAGAAAGTTACAGTTTCGTTGCAGTTGCGTTTCACCGTCTCACTGGGCCTTACACAGCGCCTCTAGTCCCAAACTAAGCAAAGCTTATACTATGGGACTTGTAATATGGACACTGACGCCGTTGTGCTATTATCACTGCAAAATTTTTCGTATCTGTTATTCCAGACACCACTGCGTCTTACAATACAAAGCGTTCGCCGAGGAAGGTGAGCAACCGTCCGGCTGGTACCTCCACGACCTGGGCAGCACTCACGGCACGTTCCTGAACAAGGAGCGACTGAAAGCTGGTCACTACACCAGGATACGGGTGGGACACCAGCTCAAGTTTGGGAGCAGTACACGGACTTATATTATGATGGTGAGCTTTTGTCAAACCTGACGTATAATTTAAACTTTTTATAATTCACAACCATTTGTTTCTGCTATTTATTTATACTAATCATGTCTCAACACGGAATAACGTCAGTGATTTCTTAAATATCAGTTTATTAATTTTTCTTTAGAATCTAATGCAACTTATACAGGATGTCCCAAAAAGTAGTGTCAAGCGAAGCCCAAAGGTAGAGCATCACTAGGGCTATCCAAATCAGCCCCAAGTATGTTCCACGATTTTTGATAGATTTCGAGTTATGATTGTTTTAAACTGTGCTTAGGCACTTTTTTGGTTTTCAAGTTACATGCCTGATTTTTTTTATTATTACATTATTAGATGAATACTAGGCCTAGCTGATTCAGAAGTATTTAGTAGTATTTTTGGGACACCCTGTATTATTAGCGGTTTCCACCAAGGCGTAGCGGAGAAGAGAAGTGTTTTGAATAACCAATCAGATTTCATTATTTCCACGTCTCATCTCTGCTCTGCTTCTGTAGAAATGGATCGCGCGCGGAGAAGAGAGAAGAAATGTCGCGCGGACTCATTTTTCTATAGAATTTGACGCGGTGCGGAGTGTGTTTGTGTGCTCACACATCTCCTTTCGTCTTCTGCCTTAATGGAAACCGGGCCTTAAACCTAAATCCAAAATATTTCAGGGCCCAGATTTCGACAGTGAAGGGGAGTCAGAGCTATCAGTGTCAGAAATAAAGCAGCGTTCACTGAACATGAAGTTGGAAAGAGACAGGATGATACGCGAGGACAGGGAGCAGAGGGAGAGGGACAGACTCGAAGAGGAAAGGAAGAGAGAAGAGCAGGGCATCGATTGGGGGATGGGTAAGAGATATTTATTAACATTGTGACTTTTATATTTGACTAGCTTTCCGCCCGCGGCTTCGCCCGCGTGTAATTTTGTCTGTCACAGAAAAACTCTATCGCGCGCGTCCCTGTTTCAAAAACCGGGATAAAAACTATCCTATGTCCTTTCCCGGGACTCAAACTATCTCTATGCCAAATTTCATCAAAACCGGTTCAGTGGTTTAGGCGTGAAAGCGTGACAGACAGACAGACAGACAGAGTTACTTTCGCATTTATAATATTAGTATAGATAGTATAGATTAGTATAGATTATTAAGTCAAATATAGATCGTTTCATTCACGTAGACGCGCCCCACCACTTTTTGGTTGAAGGAAGCGTTCCGTAAACGTAATCTCTTCGTCGGAGATTTCAGTCACTGTACTTGTCCTACTAATATTATAAAAGTGAAACTTTGGATGTCTGGATGTTTGTTACTCTTTCACGCAAAAACTACTGAAACTTTACAGTATTATTGTTTACAACCCAGAATAACATATAGGCTATAATTTATGACGATCTGTGACAAACTAAATTTCACGCGGGCGAAACCGCGGGCAAAAGCTAGTTTACAGTATTCTGTGTTCGTGTATACTTGAGATCCAGGGAAAACAGATAGTTAAGGCCTGGCTCACTCCGCGCGGTACATCCGATAATTACCTACAGCGAAGCGCCCCGCCGGCGGGTATTATATCAGTCGAATGTCACGCGCGCGCCCGTCAGGACCGCTGGCGTGCGTTGTAGTACCTAATTCTATGATCGAAGTATTATTTAAAAATGGACATAAAGAGAAAGAAATATTATTGTGCGGCGTTCGGGTGTTTAAATTCGAAAAGAAATCTACCGGATTTATCTTTTTTTTCGCTTCCCAAAGATGCTGAAAGGTATGTTGGCCATGTAGGTAATCAATAATTCTTAGGATAGTATAGGAACCTAACCTACCATGACTATTGCTCAGAATGCGTTCGTTCGTTTCAGCCAAAAATGACGTCCACTGCTGGACAAAGGCCTCTCCCAAGGTTTTCCATAATGAATGCGTTTTCCATAGTGAAACTTACCTACATTCGTACCTCATTACAAATAATTAGATTAAATATTTTTTTACTAGACACTACTAGACAGCAACCCTAACAGCGTAAGAAGAGTTCAGAGGCACGCGATAGAAAGAGACAAAACTTGTAGGTGAATAAAATTGTAGGTACGTAGTGCTGTGCGAGCTGAATTCCACTGTATCGCGTCGTAGCAAGACTCGCATTTATTTAAATCGTCTTGCGGAGTAATCCTTCTGTACCTGTACTATTACTTATTCTGTGCTAGGGTGACAGACTGATATTCAGCAGGCAAAAGTTAGTTGCATTAAATTAAATATTTCAATAGAATATTCTTCTCCTTTTACCTTCTAGCACTCTGTTCTTTGCTTACTTGTACCATCTATACTAATATTATAAAACTGAAGAGTTTGTTTGTTTGTTTACTTGAACGCGCTAATCTCCAGAACTACTGGTCCGATTTGAAAAAATATTTCAGTGTTAGATAGCCCATTTATCGAGGAAGGCTATAGCCCAAGTAGCATTTTACTCCATTTAAGAGTTCACATTTAGTTCCAATGTGTACTTAAAGCATTAGTACAGTTCACTCGTGATGTATAAGCTGTATTATTGCAATTAATTACACCTATTCCTGTCTAAGGGACTTATAGGAGTGTAGACTAGTGTAGGTAGAGTTATACTTTTATACGATTGTTGGTGTTATAATACTCTAAAAACTATCCTTTAGTCAGCCGTCTGACTAAGAGCATTATAGGAGGATAGAGATACGGCAACCGCTGTTTAACGGCCTACTTGTACGATGTTATAGAGCTAGCATTTTAATAGAACACACGTGGTCATTTATAAAGCCAAAGGCTGTTATGTTTACTTGTTTTAGACTGTTATACAGCTAGTAGCTGTAGTAGGACTTGTTTGTGATAATTAAAATAACCTTTTTTTACTATCTGTACAAAAGTGTTTCAATGGTTCGCATGTGCACTGTAGGCTGTTAAAAGGACTATATGTGTTGTCCATTAACATCAATAGCAGTTTATTTGTCCACAAGTACTACTCTTATTTGCTTTAAGCTGAACATGAATGTGAATGTGATATTCTATTACACATTTCTCCAAGCCTGTTTTTAGTTGTTCATGGTGGTTCTGTACATGATGCAGAGGAAAATATTATGCCTGAACCTGAAATTTCCCTTCAAAATATACAGATATCAGAGTGTGATGATTGCAGTTCTAGTGATAGTGAATACCATTTTGATTTGGACAATTATTTAACCTTTCGCAAAAAAATAAGAACATGAGCTATTGAAAATCGTATTCCTCATTCCGCTTTGAATAAATTATCAGGCATAATAACAGGTGCTTTTTTTGTATTAAGCTTTAATTTAATTAGTAGTAGGTAACTTTTGGCTTGGTAACTTCTTTTCTATTTCGGTTTATTGATAAACAAGCATTACTCAGGCTCTAAATGTGAAAACATGTTAATGGTTATAAGTTTTCTAAAATGTTAGTCTACATAGTTTCTACACTGTATTGTTTTCCTTGTAAAATAAAAATAAAATAAAATAAATAAACGAATTTAAACCGGGAACACTACCGTCTGATGCTTTAGCCTAGGTATTCATACTTGCCGCTCCGCCGCCACCACCCCCCAAGAGAAAGGCTCGCCAGACATTGGAGGACGTCGAGCGAAGCGTGTTCGAAAAAGTAGGCGTCATGCTCAACGCACGTTTCGACGCGCTAGAGGGACGCCTCCTCCCGGAACAGCGGCTCCGTCCTCCGTTGGCAACGGATCGGGATACCAACAGAGAAACAGCAATGGAGACCGAATTCCCTCCGCTGCCTCATGCGACACCTTCGGCCAACACAAGGTCGAAGGCCCCGACGAAACCGGCACCTAAAAAGGCTCCGAACATTGCCCCAAAGGCGGTAGCTACCGCCCCTCGGGCGGCAGGCACCGCTAGGAAGGCAACGGCTGCCGCCCCCAAGGCAGCGGATGCTCCCGCGCCAGTCAAGGGGAAGAGAAAGAGGGGTAAGAAAACCGCACTCCCACAAACACCAGCAGAACCCTGCCCGCTACCACCTCCTCCCGCGTCTATAGATGCAGAGTGGACTGAGGTAGTTAAGCGTGGCAAGCGAAAGAAAGGAAGGCAGGGCAAGGCGCCAGAAGGCGCTAAGTCTGCACCAAAAGCGAAGCCTGGGCCAAGCCGCGCTAAGGGAAACCCGCGCAAAGTGAGGATCTCCACAACCGCAGTGGTGGCCCTTAAGCTGGACCCGGATGCCATCCGGTATGAGATGACATATGAAAAGGTCATGCGCAAGGCCAAGGAGACGATCGACTTGGCCGCGCTAGGCATCCCGGATGGTGTCCGGATGAAGAAGTCTCGGACGGACACAAAGCTCCTGGAGCAGACGAGAAGGCGGACCGCCTGGCTGCTGCACTAAAAGCGGTACCGCAATTCCGGCCAAATGTGATTTCCATCACGCGGCCCACGAAGGTGGAAGACCTTCGCCTCACGGGTCTAGATGACTCGGTGAAGGCGGAGGACATCGCAGCCATATTGGCTGAGAAGGGGAGATGCCCAGCGGACGCTATTGTCGTGGGCAAAATATCGGAAAGACACACGCGCAGCGTGATCGTGCGGATGCCACAGAAGGCCGCTAAGCAGTTGGCCGATACCCGCCGGCTGCTAATCGGCTGGTCCTCGGTGCAGGTCACCTTGCTCAAACCGAGGGCCCTGCGGTGCCTCGCGTGTTGGGGTATACATTTCACGATAAAGTTGCATTCCCAATGGCATTAACATTATTAAGTATTTAAAACCCGTGTTATTATTTGCATAAATGATTATCCGCCCGAGTTGTTTCCCTCTTGGCACTCACGTACAAATACCAAACTAATATTAAAATGTGGAAATAATTTAGGACACACGTGAACTTTATGTAGCATTGGAGTACTTTTGTCGGACTTTATAACTTTGAAAGCTGTGCATTTAGCCACTTGTTACTCTTTATTACACTCACGTACGTACGTTGTATGGTTCACACTGCGTCCCATATAGTGCCGTAAGTCAGCCTTAAGTCCGATGTTACTACTTAAACTGCTATAATAATGCTATTATACTGATAATGTACAGCCATAGTGAACTTAAGGCTGTCTAATTTGTGCCCAAACTGGTTCTATAAAAGCATTATAGCAAGCTATACAGCTCGTATACAGCTGACATACACAGCTTGTGGAGTACATGTGAACGACTAGACATACTATATAGAACCCCGAATGCTACTTGGGCTAGGCTATACAACATCACGCTACGTTAAATAGGAGCAGAGCAACAGTGAAAAATGTTGCGAAAACGGGTTTTCACGCGTACGAAGCGTACGGCGGCCGCTAGTTTAATATATTTTTCGTGTCAAATAAACAATTTAATTCTTTCTTCTCAGGCGAAGACGCGGAAGACGAACCGGATCTAACAGACAATCCGTACGCCGTGACCTCTAACGAGGAGTTGTACCTAGAGGATCCTAAGAAGACCCTCCGAGGGTACTTCGAGAGGGAAGGCCACGATCTGACCTATAACTGTGAGGAGAGGGGCATCGGGCAGTTTATGTGCAGGTGAGATAGGAAATAATTTGTTGGAGTAAGTCATGGAATGAAAAGTTTGCAAAAAATACAAAATTAATAGATACTGTAAAGCTGTGGTTGAACCACACCAACGCGTGCAGATCGCCATCGTCGGCGCGATCAAAGGCCGATGACAGGTCGCGCCTAGAGATGAGACGNGTTAAACTGCTTTGAAGACTAGATTTGCGTTAAAAGCTAAAAAGATATTGACGCTATTACAAGAAGCTATCTAAAGTGTCCAACTGGTCGAAGGTCGTAAATAAAATAAAAATAATTAGGACCATAAACTGATATTCATGGTATCATAACTGTAAAAGTGTCAGAATCCGATGTTGAATCCAATGCCAGTTGAAGTGTGAGAAACATATATTTTTGTTTTTTATGTGACAGGAGGCAAACGAGCAGACGGATCACCTGTGGGTCTAGACAAAGTGCAAATTATAATCGCAAACCAGTCGATAAGTGGTCGAAAAGCCCCTTTTTTGTATGGAGTTTTGACGGATTCGATTTTCGATTCGATCAAAAAGTGCGTTTTGTCTAGGGGGGCTG